CACAGATTCCCCCCCACTCCCCAGTAGGTTCAGCATGCTGGGACCCCATCAATCCTAGGACCAGAAAGGGATGGGTAAAAACAAATTACACAAACTCCTTAAATAGTCTTGTCGTCTATGGGTAGCTGGGAGCTCGCTGGAAAGTTTCCCCAATACTGCATCCCATTGCTTTTGTTTATCTATCCTTGCTGACATTTTCTTCAATTAGGAAACAATAGCTCCGTTCCAATGTACTGAGCAGAATTACTGAAACCAAACCACGTGACACCATCAGAGTGTGTTTTCAATTATTCACTCTGTCTTTTTTTGCCAGGCCTATGAAGAGGAACAGCCTTCTGCAGGAGTCAGGTTTGTCTGCCTCGCTGTTGTAAGTTCCTCCTTTTGCATTTTTATTTAAGAATTAGAGGTTTTTTTAAACTGTAAATTCAGCTCTCAAGAGTTTCTTACTCTTTTATGTTTCCAAATCTCTAGCTCTTCCTACTGCCTGGAAATCGTTGGCTTCTGCAACAATTCAGTTCTAATAGTACTGCTCAGTAATGAATCTGATGGAGATCACAAGATCTAGATTAAAATGGGATGCAAGATATCACGCTGTTAGCACTTGGTAACATAAAACTTGTCTTGCTAGTAAAGAAAAAGTTCTAACTTTCCTACTGCATGGTTAACAGCAATGCATTCCCATTCAGCCTGGGAGCTACTTCAAATTATTTACATCTTGTAAATGCTTGGTATAATATCCAACCAAAAATTTGAACCAAATGGGCACTGCTCAAATCATTTACTTTGTTTGCAGAAGACAGACTGAGTTAAGGCTTTTTAGACTTAAAGCTGGAAAAATAAAGCTTGGGTTAAAAAAAAGAGAGAGAGAAAGAACATTTGGTTTGCATTACAAACCACAGACAACTTCCATCAGGCATGCTGAAGGTATAAGAATGGCAAGAGAAAATGACAAGCAGTGAGTGCACAGGAGGAAGAGATGAATGGTTTGGAGAACTGACTTTGAAGTAATTGTCTGTGCCCATTGAATTAAATTTGTGGAATATGGCAATGAATCATAAAGCTTCTCTAGCACTTATGATATTGTTTTCTGTGTGAAATAATATTTTTGGATATTTTTATTGAAAAATGTATAGAATATGTTTTTGGTACCTCCCGTATTTCTGTCACTTATGGACCAGCAGCCCTGGAAAGGATGCTGTTTTAGTTAGGAGCAAAAGCAAGTATTTAACTGGAAATCTCCAGGTCTGTTGGGTTTATTTTCACTGCAGCTGCTGGCTTTCCTTGAGATACCTGGTAAATCAGGGTTAAATTTGGTCTTTGAGCTAACAGAGTTCTGATGGGGGTGAGGGAAAGGGTAGGGGAAATGACTGATGCAACATGGCAAAAAAAGATGTTCTTTCTGCCGAGGGTAATATTTTGCAGGAGCATTGCTGGGGGGGTGGGAAGGAAGAGTGCACTTACAGCAATGTTTCCTTCCCTGTTTCAACAGGTGCTTCTACATGCCCTGCATCCCAGGTGCTTAGAAATAGTCAGATACACCTTCTGAAGCACTTACTACTGATGGCAGTGCTTGGTACTGATGCTCTTAAGCTCAGCAGCCTCAGACAGAGTGAGGAAGGGCTCCCGCATTTCTCCCCATCCTTCATTCTAGCATACCAGTCTCCAGAGAGCAGTATTTTGACCATTAAGCTATTAAGTCCTCTGCTTACCCATTGCTTAATGGCTCTTTAAAAATTCTCTCTTCAGGGAAGCAAGAGTGCAGTTAATGTTTGTACAACACAGAAATCCGTGAATGAAAAATACTATTTCTTCTAATTTTTCCCCGAAGGCAAGATTGTTTAGGTCTGAATGCACAATTCAGGCTCATTTCTGACACTTATTGCTCGTATCTAATAGTGATGCCAGAACCACAGAAGGATCAACAGTCACTTTTGCAGACTTTCAAGTGCTGCATGTTCCACGGCCAGTTAGCTCTGTTGCTTTCTACCTAGATGCTGAGGAGAGTTACTTGCAGAAGTTACCCCAATATGACAGCAAGCTGCGAAGCTCCCCTCATCCTGACAATCCTATTGTTTTTTTCAAGTCCACACTCTGGTTCAGTAGGCCAGATTTCATTTTCCTCTAAGATGCCTTCAAGACATGCAGGAAATGCAACACCAACTTCACAAGATAAGCAGGTTTTGTAACTCACATATTGAAAATACATACAAGTTATGGTATACTGAAATTTTGAGCTAGCCAAAATGCTAAAAACACAGTCAATAAAAATCTGTAAACCTTGAAGGTCTTCACATATTAGTGGCAATAAATGTCAGTCAGCTTGTAACTAATGGAATCAATGAAAAAACATACAAAAATTGCAAGCTTGTGATACTGAATTATGTCAACAACTTCCTATTTCAGTTTTCAAAATTATTGTTCTAATGTAATTCATTGCACTTTTCATCTCTGCATTTCAAACTAAGTTTCACCATAGAGGCTCTAAAAACAAACTTCTCTCAATACTGCAGAAAAGGAGATTAATCCTAGAGAAATAGTATTGCAAGTCAACCAAAAAGACCATGTGTTAAAGCTGAGCTCTGTGCCAACCTTTTCCCCATTCCCTCTGCGTCCTCACAGAGCTCATGCTGAATAGGACATCTGAGCCTACAGCCCACAAAGGGCAGTCCTCCATCCACACTTGTGGCTGCAGTTGGCCAGGGTTGCAAATTATGTTGTTCATAAGAAGAGAAGGTATTCTCTAAAAACCAGTAGAAGATTCTATGCACTGAATAAAATACGCTGTGCCAAAGTGGGAAGGCTGGGAGCCGAGTGACTTCAGTTGCAATGTTCCTACCCAGTAAGATCAGACTCTTCCAGATTAGCAGTGAAGTTCCCAAAGACACACAGGAGAAAGGCAGAAAACACAATGATTTTCTTCAACTTGACATGTTCTCTAGAAATATTCAAACTTAAAATTTGCTATGGGACAACGTCTTGCTGGGAATCCTGAGAAGTTTCTGAAATGTTAGCATGAGTTTTTGAAACCGTAGGGATTTTGTTCGGGAAGAGACATCAGGGAATAGAGCAATATTAGGACTTTTGTGACAGTAACTTATACTTGAAAGCTATGGGAGCATCATCTATCAAATACACCAGAAAGGACTGTAGGCCTTGGTGCAAAAAGGGGCCTCCCTCCTCCTGAAAAAACCTACATGCGATTTTTTACTTTTATAAATCCAAACAAACTCTGATTCACACTGAACTGTATATTTCTCCAGCAATGCCATATAGCTCCTTGAGATGGGTACTCAACTGCATAGTGTTTATCATCTATGTATATATTTTTCTTTGTTGTTATTTCTATGAGAACACAAAAAGTGAAAAATATAATCCTTATGATTTATTATATAGGTCTGGCTTGGTCAGAACTTGCAGGCCTATGTTTCTTGTCATGGCTGTACAGAGCCTTTAGAAAGTCTGCCTTCTGTTTCTGTATCACCAGTGACATTTTGGGTACAAAGTGCAGATGCTCCTACTTAATTCTACACAGACCCAAAACCAAGCAGCCAACCGCTTTGTAAAGCATTGTGCAAACTTTTCTCAGTGGTATACTTGAGAATGCCTTTTTAAATTGCAACCATTTTCAATTTTCAGTATAACACAGCGTTCTTTCATTTACACAAATCCTTCAGTTTCAACATGTATCAATCAGATATTGAGAATAGAAAAGCTCTTGCAACAAGCAAACCAAAAATCAAGTGAGTAAGTCAAAGTGATTGGTTTAGACTTGCTTGTGTTGAAATTTTCTTCTACTGCTGCCATATACCTAACAAAATATTTCTGCAAAACTTTTGAGAGAAAAAGGAAGCCCTTTTAACAAAGCTCCCCTTCGTTATCTTAACATGCTCATTACTTTTTTTATTCTACAAAAGCTCCAACCTCTGCCAAATCTTGACTGTATAGCATTTCTTCCACTTTCTCTTAATTTGCTCTGCTGCATCACACACTGAAACAAACCATTCCTGTAATGGAACTTTTTTTGATTGATGTATTGGAGCCATATACCCTTACGGAGCTCAATCCCTAATCAGCTATTCACATCTAAAGTGCTTCACTGGATCTCTGCATTACTGGTAAATGTGAGTCTTAAGTGAGTTCTGGTCTGCAAAGGTAGGAGCTTTACAGCTCCTGACATTCCTTACCTTCTCATGGCTAAAATCTACTTCTGCTAAGCCGCTTACAAATCAGATGTGCCAGGCAGAGAACTTAACGTTGACAATTTGATTAATCTTCTTTGAATTATAGTGGTTTCATGAATTAAACTTCAAAAGGAGCTTCCTCTGTTCAGATAATGTTAGCTGGATAGAATAATGCTTTTAAAGTATCTTCTTTTTCAATCTGGGATTTCAACATGCAAATTCAGCAGAAGCCAAAGGGAAGCAGCACAATGGAAGCATCAAAAACATTTATTAAAAGCACTCCATTGTGCTTGGGGAGCATGTGAAGAGAATGAAAAGGTGAAGGCAAATTTAGTAGAGCACTGCACAGAAACAGAATTAGCAAGTCATGAGCTATCACGTGGCTGTTAGCAGACTGAAAGGCTCTGTTGATTCGATTTATTCATTAGGGCTTTTCAGTAGTGTAGGTTATTAAGTGGGGATATATTACAACTTACATTTTATATTTCCTTTCCTGGAGGATATTTAGCAACAGAGAAGCAGATAAAGTTATTGAAAATATCATGCCACATAAATGGGAGAATGATAGGAAAAAGAGCAGCACCACCAGCTCTCTGAAGATGGATCGAAAGAGCAATGCTGGCAACAGGAAGTCAAGAAAGTTTCGCTCTATTTCAAGATCACTTATACTGTGCAGTGCCAGAAACAGTGATGATGGATCAAGTCCCGACGAGAAATGTCCCGATCCCTTTGAGATCTCCACCAGCTGGGGTCAAGAGGAATTTGACTGCTGCCCTAGAGCACAACTGCCAAGCACATCAGAGACAGAAGACAGCCCACCTGATCCTCCATGTGTCATCACCAGCAGAGCCCAGTCCAAGGCAGCCGCAAATGAGAACTGCAACAACATGAGAAGAAAGTTACTCATCAAGGTAGGCACTGAGGTGTACTATATCGTAAGGTTTTCCACTGCAGTAGTTACAAGATGTGTTAATTCATACTTCTCAGGAACACAGGATCCCACTCGGCGTTTTTAGAGTTTGTGGGCTTGCAATGTTTCTGCTGTGTATAAACTGCATGAAAATGTATTGGCTTCCTGACCACCCTGTAGCACCCTGTTGATTAGCACTGCACTGAAATCAGTGGCTGCTAGGCCATTCACTGTTGAAACTAGCACAGCTGGTGCTTTCTGCTTGCAATATGTATTGTGCTCAACATACAGAACTGTCACTATAGAAAAATGTACATGTAAAGCATGATACAATGAGACCTCACAAGCTATGCAAGTATAAATCATATTAATACCATGAAAGACACAGGAGATTTCACAGGCAGATGTTCCTTCTCTCTGATCCAGGAAGGAGGGAGTGATGGCTTTAAACCAGAGATGTCACCTTCTCTAGAGATGTAAATATTATATTTTCCTTTAATCTAGAAGCAACTATTTTAACCCCAGGTCTCTGGCCATTTCTCAGTCTAGGCAATATGTTTTAGAAGCCTTTGGAAATGCTTCCTTCTCTCTGATGTATCCTACTTGCTCATTTTTTCTCTTCCTGTTGGTATGTCACTGCAACTGTGACATGACTTTTAATAGCCTGTATCTTCATGGCATCTAGAACCATTCTAATACCCTGTATCACTTGCTTTTTACATGTACAAACAGTGGCTTATATTTCTTATATTATACAACAGTGCTTATATTTCTTTCACCTACACCTACATATTCTATTCTATTTTACTTACTTTCAGTAGAAATTGATGAAACCAGACCTCTACATCAAAAGACAGATTGCACTGGAAATCTGAATCTCCCCTAATTTTTTGAGTTTCTTATTAATGATCACAGCATGTAGTCCCATATTGCAAAGTCTGCAGCACGACAGAAATTGGGTGATGATGCATGTCAGCCCCTAGGCAAAACCACAGAACAAAGACAAAAAACAAGCCAAGTTTCTGCTGCATTCTGACAGAAAACCTAAATAGGTGGAAATGACTGAAATACAAAAATACACCTGCAAAACCATAGCACCTCCTCTCATTTGGAAACAGCCTGTATACATTCTGCTGATATTCATCTGGGAGTAACGAAGGAGCTGGCCTCTGTCACTCTCCCCTTTTCTCTTTTTAGCACAGCTGAAGTGTTTTCTTGGATATGTGTCAGTTACTGCAGCCTGCTTTCTTGCATACCTCCAAAACATCCAGGCTTCAATAACCATTGTGATCCATAGCCTTGTGAAACTATTCAACATCTTACTGCAGACTGTAAGTTATTTGGTCTTCTAGCTAACAAACAGCTCAAACAGGGATCTGGGGAACAGAGTAATTCTCATACCTAATGCTGCTGTATGGATAAGTACCACTGGTGAGGGAATCAACCCCCTCTGGTTGGTGTGTTAATATCACTGAACAGGGAGGGTCAGGAACCTGGATGGACAGTGACATAAATCAGTCAGAATTAGGCCTTTACCAGTGCAGTTGGGGTGTTCACCGACACTATAGGTAATGGGCACACTGAATTCCCTTTTCAGAGCTCTCATAACCATACAAACTTTTTCAGATGCCACTTGCTAATATTCCTGCCTTTCAGAGTCACGGATCAGTGGCTGTGAGAAGCCTTATCTCAGCATGCTAAGTGGGATGAACTTCAGTAACAGCTATACGGACCTTATCTGTACCGCTTACGCTGAGGCTTCGCCCTATATTATGAAAACAGTGATTTCTATTTTCCATATGGCACAAGCCTGTCATCATCTTTCTATACCACGTGTCTTATCTTAAACTTGAAAATTCTCTGTTTAAGAAAGGAGTCAGGAAGTGTTTTTCAAGTCTTAAAGTACGACACTCTCTTCATCTCCACGTGACTCTTCAGAAATTCACACTGTGTGATTCAGAGCTGAAGGATCCTTGCCTTTGTTCAAGAAAATTGATTCCATTCTTTCTGTGGTGTCGTTGAGGTTATCCCACTGCTCTTTTGCTTTCCATTCCCTACAGTCTTAAGTATGTCTCTGAAGGTGACAGCAACTCTCATGCAACTGAACAACTTCATTTTTTTCCTGTTAAACATGGAATGAGAGAAGAATGTTTAAAAGTGCAGCGTGATTTAATGCTCCCTGTGTCTCCCTTCTTCAGGACTAGGGGAGAATCAGAAACATCAGTCTTCCAAACATTAGTTTCATTCTTCTGTTCGAAAACTAAAGTATCTCATAGAATCATAGAATGGCTTGGATTGGAAGAGACCTTAAAAATCGTCTAGTTCCACCCTCTCTGCCTTGGCCAGGGCTGCCACCCACTCAATTGCATGAGATTCACTGTTACACAAGCCATAAGCAAAATGTTTTGGGACTTCTGCATATGGGTCAGAGGCACATATTTTTCCTCTTCTGCCTCCCTACTGCTCTTTTTACCGCACCAGAAAGCTATCATTTCATGCACTTCCCAACCATTTCTTTCTTCCTGTCTGGTTGATTGTGCAAAAAGCAAAAGTAGTAAATAACACATCACCATGCACAGCCAGGCAAAGAAAAGCTGGATCAAAACCTTATAGTATGCAACGTATGAACTATAAGATGTTACCTGGGAAATAATTTCTCAGTCTGATCCATTAATCTCTCACACCAAAGACTTCAATGTATGTCCTCTACTTTCATTATATATTCTAAATAGCCAGGATTTTTTTCTCCTCTAAATGGACTGCTACAGTAATGAGAAGGGTTTTATAATTCATTTGGTTTCCATGTTCCAAGATTCACTCATATCAACTATAGCTCACTGTGCCTCCAGCACGTGACATTACTTGGGCATCATCCATCCAACCAGCTCATGGACCACTTACCTTCTAAGATGTGGCACACTTACTCTAGCACTGACACAGCTGGGAAACCAGCTTCTCAATTTATAAATAAGATCTCCTTTGTAGTTTGCTTCTCACAAAACTAGCAGGCTTTTGGTGGCCTGTAATGAAAGAAAAAAATGTCAAGCAGCATCTGATACCTGATGTATTTAACAAAGTAAACTGTCAAAGACAGCCTTGCCTGCTCATGTCATTACAAAATCTGAGGCTTTGCAATTTGTCAGACGGACAAGAAGAGAGAATATTGACTCATTCTCTGGAAAGCAGCAGTCTCACGGGGTTGGAGAGATTCTTCCAGAAGCATTCCTTTTCACTCAAGGGCTCTCCTCCCTGCACCACGGACAGCCTAGGAAGCACCAACAGTTACCAGTGAGTGTGGCAGAAGTGGGTGAAAAACCATCTAGAATAAACTGTAAAAGGGATGGACGAGTTCTTTATGTAAACACTCGATTCGAGCTGATTTGCACTGCCACATTCAGTCCCAGAACATTCTCTGTTCTCGCTTCCCTTGGTTTCTGATCCTCTGCTTGAAGGAAAAAAAACACAAAAGGTCATTTTCTCCCTTAGTTGTCACAGAATTATTTTTATTAACTTGCTTTTGTGCAGAAGCCAGTTAGCTGGCTCCTTGGTACCAGGACAAGTGTTATGGCAACAGACTGTAATGTCTTGAACATGAGCCTATGGCGAGGATGGAAAAACAAAGCAAGTGGAGGAGACTACATTCATTTGGACTTTTCTGCTTCCTCCTCCCTTTTTCTGTTTTCTCTGTCCATCCTCTCAGCCTTCTCGCTTTTGTGACATCAGGGCCATGCTATCCCCAGAGCAAGTTGGGAAAGAGGCACTAACGCTAAGACGGTGCATGCAGCAAAATATGGGCCAGGGCACAGGCTGCCCAAAAAAACAAATCAAAGCCCAGATGATGGGTGGAAAGGTCTGTCTGAAATACATGATATGCTGATTGTGTATCTAGGGCAGAACCTGAATCCCATGCCCCAATTCTTGCATCATCCCAAGGCTTCCTGGCTTCTACCATTTTATTAATTGCAAAGGGAATATGCTGCTGGGAAAACGAATTACATCTACTATAAATATTTTGGAAGGACCAAAGCTTTGGCTGAGGGATGTCAGAATTAGTGGAGTCATGTCAGTTTATGCCAGAAGAGACTCTTTGTTAGAAATGATGCAGGAAAACAGGTTTCTTGAAGAAAATCCCAAAAGGCTGTGTTCTCTTCATCTTCCACTTGGAAATCCCAGTCATTTCACAGCTGGGAAGGCAGAGAAGCCAAATATTTAAATTCACTATTGTACTGTTGTTAGATTTTTTGCTTTTTTGTGTGTCTTTGGCCTTTTTTTAACCAGCAGTCAATCAGCTCATTGTCATATGCTTAGTTAACAGAGTCAGAGACCTTACGTGAACCAGCCTTGTATAACACTTCATTGCAGACAATCTAACTACTGTGTCTTACGTTGAGAGTGCACAAAAGTTTTTTAGTTTTTCACAGATGCCATGGTTACCCTTACTTCAAAACAACATCTGGAACGAGATGTTTTGAGAGGGACTCTGGGCTAGAAATGCCTAATAAGAACACGAAGGGAAAAGAAATCTCTTAAATGGCAGATAGAAAAACATCCTCCAAAATTTTTCATTTAGCACAACAAAAGGAGGAGGGCAGGAGGAGAAGATTCGCCTGGACTTGCAAATTACTTTTCCAGAGCAAAGCACATGAAATATTAATTTACTCTCACCTGCAACATAAATGCATTTAAGAAGACTCTTGAACTCCCTCTTTGATTTTAAAGTTTCAGCCAAACAGATTCAGCTTAAAGACTAATTTTGTTTATAATGCACTCCTGCAGACCATCTTCATTTTGGTTTCACAGTAATGGGCAATGCAAACACAAGTTTCCCCTGAGTCCTGAAGTGCTGGGTTGCAAAGTCCCTTATAAGCAGATAGATTTTATTCACTGGCAGCAAATACGCACTTAAAAATACGCACTAATAATGCGTAGGCAAAGTTGACCTAGAATCCACCTGCCTATTCCCTCCCTCCTCAACCTCTCAGCCTCACTTTAGCAAATTTTCAGCATTTGCTACAGAGCTATAAATCACCATGCAAAAACAGCAGGGCACAGTAAAAGGGAGGAGAATAAAAACAAATGCTGCTTTTACTCTTGGAACCATCAGCAATATTTCTATGCATATAATAATAAGTGAGACAGGAAATAAAGGACATTAAAGAACAAAACCCAAAGCAAATTGACTGCTGGCACGTGAAGTGGTCAAATGTTTACTTTTCTAGAGAACAGCTTTTATTAATTTTCTGTCATGTTGCAATAACTTGGATGTGAATACAGGGATCTATATCCAGGGCCCAAAAGAAGTGCAAATGCTGACAACATACAGATATTGCCACGTGTCCCTCCTGTCCAATAAACTTTTTTTTTTTTTTTTTTTTAAGTAGTTCACATAAATGCATTTAAAAACTGTTGACACATAGAGTCTATTTGAAATGTTGCCCTACTTGGTAAGATGACCACAGAGTTAAAAAATAAAATAAAACGATTCCCAAGACTTCTCTACAATGCACAATGAATTTAACTTCTTTCTTTCTAAATGCATACAACTGATTGCTCTTGGAAAGAATATTCTGTGAAGTTCTCATTGGTGTTATTTCACATGCGTGTCCCAATACAAGCCAGAATTTCCAGCCTTGCACTTGTCCCATTGCACAAAACACCTTCCCCACAGGGCTGACACGGCGCGCAATGTACAATCTCAGAGCCAAACACACTGCACCTCTGTGATGTCCTGGGAAACTGATGACAGCCAAATGCCTTTCTGACAAATAACTACAAAGAGTATTATAAATACTATGTGTGCAGCAGCTGTGTATTAAGAACAAGTTCTTGGAAGGGAATGAGCATGAGAGAGGCTGGGGGGTGCCTGAAGAGGCC